CAGAGGCCGACAGCAGGGGAGGATGAGAACTAGCAGTAGAGATCTCTCCTAATCTTTGGTGGTCTTAATGAATGAAACGGGGCCGTCAGTTCAAGCTTCGTTCTCTCTCCCTTTCTCGAGGGGGATCTTTCAGGTGGGACGCGAGGTCACCCTTTCTTCTTCTTCCTTCCTCTGTTTCTTAGTCCCACATTTTCATGTAAAGTTCGCTCCTTTTTCTATCCCACTTTCTGCCCAATCCTCCCGCTTCACTCTATCGCCATTTCGATTTTGTCCATAGCTTTGGCCTTTCTTGTAAACAAGATCCGAGGTTTCGCCTGTGTAGAACTCAAGTTGGTTCGAGCTAACTGACCTGTTTTGAACTCATGCATTGTAGCTCTGCTGCTGAGTGCTGACCCAGAAGCCGGTGAAAGAGCTGAGTTCTCTACGGTTTCAAGGTACGAGGGGAAGGGGATTTTGTTCTTTCTTTCCTCTGTTGCCATAAATGAAGGGCGTCTTTCTTAGCTTGCCGTAGTTACTCTTCTGAGCAAATAATCCCTGAGAATTTGGGTCTGCTATCAAAGGAAACTGTTAATTGATTGATTGGTGACATGCCTCGTTTTCTATTGCCGGAAAGGAGGATCTTTGATTTCTCGAATTCCGGCCAATCCACTGCCATTCCGCCGATTAGTTAGCGGGTCCTTGCCGTGGAAAGTTCTGGGCAGGAAGGAAGAAGATGCTCAACAACTTGATTGGTTCAGTTGAAGAGATTTTGTTGTTATTATATATGCATTGATGTTTTGATCATGACCAAACCCGTCCCAAGTAGTAGTAGCAGGAGGATTCTCAAGGATGCAAATGGCGACATCAGCGACCATCTCCGCAACCACATCCACTTGACCAACTGCATCCACCTCAAGAACCACATGCACAAGCAGAGCCCCATACTCAACGACAGGTCCCTAATGAGAGACCTCATTGCCCTCCAGAGGTCCCGTTCGCTTCGCGACCCTTCTGCTAGCCCTCCTTTGTCGTGGCAGTCGCCCTCGGTTGTCGATCTGCTGCCCAAGAAAGGTGATCATGAGGAGGAGGATAATAATCTCCATATTCAAGAGGGCAGAAGGTCTTCTGTTGGTAGAAGAGAGAGCAGCAGCAGGAGGTTGTCTGGTGGCTCACCTCAATTTTCCAGTCATCAACCGTCGAAGGTTGTTCCTGTAAGTGATCGTAGTAGTAAGAGCGGGATGATGGAGGGTAGTGGGAGAGTTAGGAGGGAAGAATCTAGTACTAGAAAGAGTGGTGGTAGAGCTGATGCTGCGAATGGTTTATTGTTTGGTGATGCGGTTCCTGGCAGTTCAGGATCTAGAGATGGGAATAGTAGGCAGCAGAAGTCGAAGCATAGTGTGGATGATGAACATATCAAGACTCTTTCTCAGCAGCTGAAGGAGGTTGCTGCTATTGATAGTGATGTGGCAGCATCTTCTTCCAACATTCATCATAATGGCAGACTTAGTGGAGCTAATCGAGTTAAACGGCGTAAGTTTAGGGCTGCCAGGGGAAGAGGAAGTCGTGGTCCACCTTCTAGAGACACTGGAGGAGGTCATCATCAAAAAGAAATGTCTGCTGCTGCTTCTAATTCACTACAAGCTCAAGAAAGAAAAGAATATGGAGATCAGAATGTCACACATGGTCCAAGAAATGGATGTGGTATTCCATGGAATTGGTCAAGGATTCATGATAGGGGGAAAACATTTCTCGACAGGGCTGGAAAGAGTCTGGCTTGTGGTCGGTCAGAGTCAAGGTTGAGGCAAGGCTCTCACGAGAGGGATATGCCAATGGCATCTGGTCAATCAAGTTCAGCGGCTTCTAGGTCTGGTTCCGAGGCACTGCCTCTATTGGTCGAACCCTCTGCTGGTTCGAGTGACAACAATGCTGGTTGGATTCATGACTATTCTGGTGAGCTTGGTCTATATGCTGATAATTTGCTGAGAAATGATCTTGATTCTGATCTTGCCTCTGAAGCTAGATCAGGTGATCGTCAAGGCAATCATCAGGGTCGGAATCACAACCGAAGGCATCAGAATCTGACCCAGAAGTACACGCCTAGAAGCTTTAGAGACCTTGTAGGACAAAATCTGGTCTCGCAGGCTCTTGCTAATGCAGTCTTGAAAAGGAAGGTTGGACTTCTGTATGTATTTTATGGACCTCATGGCACTGGCAAGACTTCTTGTGCCCGAATCTTTGCTAGGGCTCTAAATTGTCAGTCGATGGAACGCCCCAAGCCTTGTGGACACTGTAACTCTTGCGCTGCACATGACATGAGCAAGAACAAGAATATTAGAGAAGTTGGTCCTAATTTTGACTTTGAAAGCTTCATGGATCTTCTTGAGAATATGATAATTTCCCAGTTGCCATCTCAGTACAGGGTTTTCATCTTTGATGATTGTGATACTTTGTCACCTGAGTGCTGGAGTGCGATATCAAAGGTCGTCGATCGAGCTCCGAGGCGTGTGGTTTTCATCCTTGTTAGTTCGAGTCTTGATGTTTTGCCTCATATCATTATATCGAGGTGCCAGAAGTTCTTCTTCCCAAAGTTGAAGGATGCAGACATAATCCATACTTTACAATGGATCGCTTCCAGAGAAGATATAGACATTGATAAGGATGCTTTGAAACTGATTGCCTCCCGGTCCGATGGATCGCTGAGAGATGCCGAGATGACCATCGAGCAACTTAGTCTGCTCGGGCAGAAGGTCTCTGTGCCTCTAGTTCAGGAGCTGGTAAGTGCTTTACAAATTTTTGTAGCACGCAATAGTCATTCTCCAGCCTGGTGATGTTTGTATGTATTCTAAGAATTCAATTGTTTCTTGACAGGTTGGGCTAATATCGGATGAAAAATTGGTGGATCTTCTTGACCTGGCATTATCTGCTGACACAGTAAACACTGTGAAGAACTTAAGGGTCATAATGGAGACGGGCATAGAGCCTTTAGCTTTAATGTCGCAGCTTGCTACTGTTATCACTGATATATTAGCAGGAACATATGATTTCACAAGAGAGAGGCACAGACGGAAGTTTTTCAAGCGACAACCAAGTAAGTTCCAATCATGTGTTGTGTTGCTACTAAATTTTCTGCCTCTTGTTTGATTCATCCGTCTCCTTAACAAATGAGGCTTACCTAGGATTGGCCAAATATTTGGGTTGTGTTTGTTTTAACTTCTGCAACTTGCTTGCTATAGTCAAATATGGTTCTCACTTCAAAAGTTGATTTGAGTGAAACCTTGTATTCTGATTCCCAGTGTCGAAGGAAGAAATGGAGAAACTTCGACAAGCATTGAAAACATTATCCGAGGCTGAAAAGCAACTTAGGATGTCTAATGACAAACTGACATGGCTAACAGCAGCACTGCTTCAACTTGCACCTGATCAGCAATACCTGTTGCCTAGTTCTTCAACAGAGCCCAGTTTCAATCACAGCCCTCTGCCCGACGGAAGGGATACGACCACCAGAACGGTTGTTGGACAGCACGCAGAGGCGGTGCCCCACAATGCGAGAAACCTGCCTTCACAACATCCTACTAGATTAGAAAAAGATCTCCCTGGTAGAACTTCCATTGATCAGCACGGGAACAGATTGAAAAATGGCGCCAACATGGATATGAGAAGGCAGATCCCACGGAAAAGTCACGTGGGATATGAAGAAATTTGGATTGAGGTGCTTGAGAACATTCAGATCAAGGGTATAAGGGACTTCTTGTACCTTGAAGGGACACTGATTTCTGTAAGCTTCGGTGCAGGTACTACTACTTCATTAGTATATTACGTTGGAATATACTGCTCTCTGATTTACCATAGGAGTGGAACAGTGTTGGATCAATTTCATATCTATGCTCATCCACTTTACATTTGTCTGTTTTGCTACTACAATGATTATTGGAAATCTTTTTCTTGTGTCATAAGTCATAACCTCAGCAGAACATCATGTACATGTGCAATAGGCTGGGAAGGGATTTGAAGGGTTACTTGATATTGAAAAGATCGCTACCAGAATGTGATTTTCCACTATCTCGACCAAATCTGCAGCTTTATGTTTGTTGCCTGCAGCAGCTAACCATCCCAACTCCATCTCTGTTTTTTTCATTTGCAGCTCCAACCGTGCAGCTGCTGTTCAGCTCACAGCTGACAAAATCCAAGGCAGAGAAGTTCAGCACATACATTCTACAAGCATTTGAATCGGTTCTCGGTTCACCAGTGACGATCGAAATCAGAACAGAACCATGCAAAAGCGGTAGGCCCCACACGCCACTTGTGTTACCCACCACCAAGAATGGTTCGTCAACTTCACAGGTGGTAGTAGCTAGAGATGGCAGGAGAACGGCTTCGAGGCCAGAAGAACAGTTTGGCAATGCAGGGAGAGACGACGAGATCGTTGAAGTGCTACCTTCCCCTAAACATGCAGATTTACAACAGCATAAGCCAGCTGCTCCACGTAGAGTAGGGGAACTAAGTCAGAGTAGAAGCCTTGTGAGAAGCAAGGTCTCCTTGGCTCATGTGATTCAGCAGCAGGTGGAAGGATGTAATCAGCCGAATGCATGGTCGAGACGCAAAGCAGTTTCTATAGCTGAAAAACTTGAACAAGAAAATTTGTAAGTGCCTTCTAAAACACCATATTTGTTTTCATGACCCTGAATTTTGCCAGGTTTTGAATTCTCCATGGTATTTTGACAGGAGGCTGGAGGCCCGATCGAGAAGCATGCTCTGCTGGAAAGCAACGAAAGTGACGCGTAGGAAGGTAATACATCCTGGCTTCTAAATTTAGGTTCGACAAAAGATTTTGGCTGATGAATGATGCTGACCAATGTTTACACAATGCACTGCAGCTATCTCGTTTGAAGGTCAGGGGAAGACGACCTCAGTCATTACTGAAGTTGATCAGCTGTGGAAAATGTCTCTCCAGTAAACCCAGATCACCCACCTAGAACTACAAATTTGGTTTCATTTCTTCTTAGTAGTAACGTTAATGTAAATTGTAATCCAATTTTTTATTTCTCCCACCACAAATTCCATTTGCTTAGGTTACCCAATTTAGCCTCTTGTCTACAAATTTCATCCTTGAATAAAATGCATAATCAAAGCTTTTAGGAAATGTAGGCTGTACAATTTTGAACGACAGACCAAAACAACCCTACTTCCTTTTATGCACAACATGGAAGCTAAGGTTGCTAATATCCCTACCGCTTACATAATCTTCAGAACTGAAAGCACATTGTTGTGAAACGGATCCGAGACATGCTCCACGAGGTTCTGAATAGGGCCTTTACCTGTCACGACTGCTTGAATATAGAACCCTAACCAGGCAACCATCGCCAGTCGTCCATTCTTGATCTCTTTCACCTTCAGCTCTTCAAATGCCACTGGCTCCACTGCAAAGTTCAGTGGATCGAACAATGAGCCGCCTGGGTAGTTCTCATCACCCGGCAAGTAGATTCCCAAGGGCTCCAAAGCCTCAATGCCGCAGTATCTTGCATACTCAGGTCCAACCTGCTCGCTTTTTGATCAAGCATGTTACTAGTACTGATAATTACAAGGGGAAAGGAAATGAGATCAATTCGAAATGGTGTTAAAGAGTTCATTCATTCACCATCAGGAGGACTTGGCAGATAGCAATGACAAGTATTCCTTGGCTTCCAGCAAAGTGGAGACCTGGGATACCCAGATAATCCAACGTATCTCCCTGATTTCAAGTTCCATTATCACTATAAAGGTCAGATGCATGCTCTGGTTAAACGAAGCATTGTAATGAATGATGAAAGCATTCAAGGTAGGAATGACAATGGTCAATAGCAGACCTGAAGCTTGGAATATCCAACTTTCCACCAGACAGGTTCAGTAAAATGGAATGCGCCACCTAAATCCAATACTTCAGGAATAACAGCGCCCAAAGCTCCTAACATTGCCCATCGAGCATGCAGTAACTCGAAGCTGCAGAGCTTTTAAAGCCTCAATTTTCATGGGTTTACTAAAGGGCAAACGAAGTTTGAGTTACATAGCAACTTTACTTGAAGTATCTCTGGAGAGCCACAGGGTCTTTACTGAGATTAGCAACGTCATAGCCATAATCGCCCGGCAGGTCTCCGGCGAGATGAGCAGGATAGTCGTAGGGAATTGTACCCAGCCAGCGAGGACGGTCTTCTCCATACCAAATGCTATCTCGTCGGGCCTTTTGTGTGAGTTCCCGGAATTTTGAGGACTGTTGGATCGCGGCTTTCTTCTTCTCCTCCATACGCGACCGAAGCGTCTCCCCCAGCGAGCTATTTGCGATGGCTTTGACGGCGGTGAATGGAATCGCCGAGAACACCACCACTCCGGCAACCTATTTTCAATTGCGAAGATGAATTAGGGGTTTAGGAAACAAGGGTTCCTGCAATTAAGGAGGGGGAGAGAGATAGAGAGAGAGGGGAAACCTCTTGCCATGTAGCTTTACAGTAGAAAGGGCGATGAGGGAGATGTCGGCGATCTCTGTAAGGAGATGGAACTGAGCGGCTCGTCGGCGAGCAAGCGGAGAAGATGGTGGGAGCGCAGTAGGTGGAGGCGGAAGAGATTTGCGGCGGTTGCCGAACGAGTGACGGAGAAGCCATGACCCGGCGGGCGGCGGTGAAGTGGGATAGAGAGATGGAGTTGTAACTGGAAGGAGAGCAGAGGAGATGGCGACCGGCGGTGGAAACTGGAAAGTGGAAATATTTACCAGTCGCTATAGAAGAAGTCCAGAGATGGTAGAAATTATGAAACCTGGAACGGTAGCCATACAAACTGGAAAATGGAAATGTTTTCCTTCATTTTCCCGGTCATCTCATCCGGCATCAATGACACGGTGGATAAAAGAGTCCTTTTTGCAGTGTTGTGAAAACCAAATCATAGATCGATCCGGATTAGTAGAAAGTTCAAGATTTATCGAATAATCGTTGTTTAACCGGTATTAAGAATCAGTTATACACCGGTGTTTGGCTCAAATAAGAAGAAAGAAATAGAGAGTAAGAATATAATAATAATAATAATAATAATAATAATAATAATGAGTAATTGGCGTTAGGGGGAGGGCCACTTTTTTCCGTTACCTTCTTACCTTTTTATTAATTACTAGATAATTGGCTAGCGCCTAGCGCTATGCAGTGGATAATGGTGAACTAATTGAGTCATATTGGATTGAATTAGAATAACTTAATTTTTTTATTACAAGTTGATTTTGACGGTCAAAGTTCGTATTTTTTATTTATTAATTTTCTTAAGAAACAAATGTGATTTCTCTTCATGGAGGACTTTGAGATTTTTAAAAGGATTTATCATCCGTGTATTTTGTTTGATGCATAGTCAGTAACTGAAGTAAGTTAAAATGAATGTATTTATATCCTAAAAAGAAAATAAAGTGAAACTTAAAAAAAAATGATCATAGTGTTTACACGGTAGCTTCTTATAATATAAAATGTACCACAATTATCATGTTTTTAATTATAAAACAGTTAATCATCTCGAAATTCTGCTCTACAACGGGACTTCCTTATCGGAGCTTTTATCAACCAACTAACTGTAGATGTTTAAAAGGACATATCTTAAATGGTTGTGTACTCTTTCGTCTTTCACCAGACCCCTTAAGTAAACTTGTGATGATAATTACTATCAATCATCTAAAAATAGTTGAATTACTCTCAATATGAAGTGCAGATGGTGCTAAAAATGTATCCACTAAAAAGTTATGTTTCAGAAACTAAGGCATGAAAACATAAATTAGGGCGGGATTAATGAATTATAAAGGAAAAGTCTAGTTATCAATATTTTTCCGATGAATGGGTGGTTTTATTCATCAAATACGATCAAGAATAAAAGCAGTGATTTTGTACATACCAGACTGTACAGTTAGCAACTCTAGCAATCCATACTACAACTATGTCGATCTACTCCCTATATAGTATATACCACAGAATTTGAGCAGCAAGAGAACTGGCTATACTTTGATCCCCCTGAGTTTTTGCCGTCATGACCCCCTGCATCTTCGAGCCAAAGCTTCTGCTGTTAACCGCTTCTGGCCATATAACTTGCGACAACGTTTTCTCCATACTTCACTGACTACCAAACACCACAAAACCCTGCCAACTCTGCACTTTCCCAGCTTTTGAGTTGCCTGCAATACTGCTTGATGCAGTGAATTCGGCAAAGGGAGCTGCCAAGAACTGGGGAAAACTGTACTCCATACTTCCTGTACATACTCACACAAGAAAAATATATGTTCTCTTGTTTCTTCTACACAACCACATAGAGGACAGGTAGTACACACATCAAGATTCCATCGTCTAATTTTATCTAGTTTATTGACTTTATCAAGAAGAACAAGCCAGGTTAATACTAAGTTTTTAGAGATACCTCCTTTCCAAACCAGTCCAGACTAGGGGTGGGCATCCGGTTCGGGTGAATCAAACTGAAACCGATTATAATCGAACCGAAACCAAACTATTATTATCGGTTCGGAATTCGGAACAGAAAACTGGCTACTTCGAAACCAACGTTCTCTCCACCAAACCGATTTTCCGATTTTCGAACCGACAAACCGAAACATGGGTTGAATGCTACCTTAGCCCAGTACACTACCCAGCCCAAACCCGCAGAGCCCAAAAAAATCCACTTTCCCAGAGCCCAATTCCCCACATAAAGTAAAAACCCTAACCCCAGAGCCCAATTCCCCTCCCCCCCACCCCACCCACATAGGCACAACCCTAAGCCCAAATCCTCTCTCGGCACTCACCTGTCACCTTCCACCACCACAAAAATTCACATCTCTAACCTAAAGAGACGGCAAGCAGCCACCATTGTCAATTCTCATCTCTTGTCTGTCCTTGCAAGCAGCCAATTTCAGATCCACCACGATTTAGATCCATGGCACATCTCGGTGCTCCTCGGCAGGGAAACAGACTGTTGCGGGCATCTCTACGACACGAGGATCGGCAAGGAACGGAGGCAGGATCCACAGGAGCGGCGGCTGGATCTGGGGCGACATGCTCGGCCTAACGATAGGAACGACGGCGTCGACGGCAGGGAGCTCGACCTAGCTGAGCGACTAATTACTCGGAGAGGACGGACCGACGACGTTTTGTCCCCTACAGAGAGAGATTGAGAGGGTTTGGTAGAGGCGTTGGACGCTGGTGGTGGTAAAAGGTGGAAGAAGAATAGCAGAGATGGAGAGAGATAATGAGGTGGAGAGAGGAAGAGAAATCGTGTTTTTGGGTAGAGAGAGGAAATAGCGTACAGAAAAAGCGGAAGGCAGAGGAAGAAAAGAAGAATGCAGGGGAAGGGTGTTGGAAATTTTGGGTTTGTTAGGATCCCGAACCGAACCAGAATATAACTCGATTTGAAATTGGTTTCATTTGTAGAGAGTTCGGAGGACCCGGTATATTCATTTTCAGTTCGGTTTTGACGGAACCAAACCGATGACCACCCCTAGTCCAGACCATTGCACTGGATCTCCTCTTGGTCGAAAACAATGCCATACTTTGCTGATTTGGAACTTCTGCATTAGCTCCCCATCCCATCCACTTCACGATCAGTTTTGCATAACCTGTCTTCTACCAAACCTCGAATTTTGAGTATCTTATTCCACACCCAAGATCCCCGTGTTTGAACTTCCCAGATGCTATGGTGACGATGTCGATACTCATTTAAGCTATCCATAGGGTCTCCTGGTCATATAGGAGCTCCTAGAAATGTCGAACTAGACAAGCTTTGTTCCAGGAGTGTAAGTCTTTAAACCCCATACCACCTTCTGTTCGAGGGAGAGTCAATGTTTTCCAGGTAACCTTGGCTCGCTTCTTCTTCTCAAATTCACTCCAAAGAAACTGTGAACACATATTCTCTATTTCCTTTATGACCTTCTTAGGCAGCAGGATAACATTCATCCAATACTGGGACATACTGGATAGCAGAGAGACCACAAGCTCAAGCTTTCCTACATAATATAATAGCTTTGGTTGCCAGCCTAGAATCCTCCCTTCTATCCTGCTAATCAAGGACTTGCAATCTCCAGCAATCAGTTTCCCAGCATTCAATGGCAACCCTAGATAGCTGACTAGCAATTCCCCTTCCTTGAACCCAGAATGTCGCACCAGTTCCCCTTTTAAATGCTCTGTCACTCCAGCACTGAAAATTTCACTTTTGCTAGGATTACACTGCAAACCAGACACTAAGTAGAATTTTTGAAGGATTTCAGCAAGCACTGTTACTCCTTCTACAGACCCTTTAGTAAATACCAACAGGTCATCTGCAAAACATAGATGGGTGAGACCTATTCGACTGCATTGTGGGTGGAATGGTAGCACTGATCTAGCTATTGCCCTCACAATACAGAAGAAGAACGAAGCGAAGTGACATGCCGGGGGCAGGGAAAAGAGTCGAGTCGATCACGCTTGGGTACATGCGAAGAAATGATCATAAAAGGGGACAGTGCTTTTGCGAATGCTAATACGCAGTATATGTCGCTTTCGTCTATTCAACATACAGTCGAGGATCTCCATACTTGCTGCAAATAAGTAGGGAGAGAGGGGATACCCCTGCCTCAACCCTTTCTGTGCTTTAAAATGGCCAGTAAGCCCCCCATTTATGCAAACAGTAAAGCTAGTAGATTCTAGACAGCCCTTAATCCAACTGACAAATCTTTCTGGGATCCCCATTGCAAGCAACACACAGTATTGGAAGTCTGAAGTCCCAATCCACACTGTCAAAAGATTTCATTATGTCTATCTTAAGAGCACACCTAGGAGATACATTTTTCCTTCGATACCACTTCACCGGATCATTAGCCAAAACTATATTGTCGGTTATTAGTCTGACCTTAATGAATGCATATTGGTTTGGACTAATCACTTTTGGTAATACTTGCTTCAATCTATTAGCTTGTATTTTAGAGATGCACTTATAGACAAAGTTGCAGCAGGAAATGGGGCAAAAATTCTTCATGGAATTAGCATTTGGTACCTTTGGAATGAGAGCTAGGATTGTGCAATTTACTTCCCTCCTTATTCTCCCAATAAGGAAGAACTCCTGAATTGCCTTAATGACTTCCGTTCCCACTAGCCCCCAATGCTCTTGAAAGAATTCTGCTGTAAAGCCATCTGGCCCAGGTGCTTTGTCCTTCTTCATGCTTTTTACTACTCGCTATACCTCTTCAGCTATAACCATTGAGCACAGTTCTTCACCATCTTCTTCCAAATGAAATACTAGCAACTGTCGAAATGTTTCCACCGTGACTCGTTTCAGATGTTGATTCCTCGTACCCAGCAATGATCGATAAAACTGTATAGCTTCGTGACCAATCTCCTCAATATCTTCTAAGACATTTCAAGATTCAGTGACTAACTGCCTTATGGTATTCTTAGCTTGTCTAGTTTTAACCATGTTGTGAGAGAACTTGGAGTTAGAGTCTCCACCGTTCACCCATTGTTGTCTCGACTTCTGCTTGTTATAAGATTCCTCTGCTTTTTGAAGCTCTAGAAGATGGACCATACACCTCTTTTCAGCTTGGAAAGCTGAGGAGGCAGGGCGCTCCAACACTTCTATTTGAGCTCTAGATAATTCCTTATATGCCAATCTTACTCTTTCATGAATATCTGAATAACTCTTTCTATTCAATCACTTCAGACGAATCTTGATGTTTCGTAACCTTTGATACAAATGTGCCATGGCAGAGCCTGTTGTAGAACAAAGCCATCCTTCTGTAACCAAATTCTCATACTCTAGGTGGAGTTTCCAAAAATTGAAGTATTTGAAAGGACGTGGTAGAGTTTTAATACCTGAGTCCAGACAAACCAGAATTCCACAGTGGTCTGAAAGGCCAGGCAGCAGAATTTTGACAGTACTTCTAGGATAACTCTCCATCTAACTATCCGAGACAAGTGCACGATCTAATCTCTTCGCAATAGGGTTGCCTTCTTGCTTATTAGACCAAGTATACCACGACCCTATTACTCTATGATCAGTCAACTTCATGTCATTTATCCATAAGGATAAATGTTGGGTACTCTCCCCTTGACCTCCTGAGTTGGAGGACTCAGTATTATTCAAAATTGCATTGAAATCAACTACTACTGATAAATCGCAAACGAATCAAGAAGACACACGAGTTTTACGTGGTATCCTCGGTCGATTGAGTGACCGAGACTAATCCACGGGAGAGTTCAGCCTCTCCATCTTTGATCTTATTAATTAGATGATTGTGTTACAGTGGCCGCATGGCCTATACAAGACTTATATAGGCTAGAGCTTTTTGTACTTAGGGCTTTACATGTAGAAGAAGGAATACTAGGAAATCTCCCGTAAGCACTCCTTGCCATGCACGT